AATATGGAGGAGACTAATGACTAATTTATTCATGGAATATTTAATATGGAGGAGATAATGACTAATTTATTCATGGAATATTTAATATGGAGGAGATAATGACTAATTGGTTCATGGAATATTTAATATGGAGGAGATAATGACTAATATATTCAGTGAATATTTGGCATAATGCAACAGCTGATGTAGATATAGCTGCTTAACATATAAATTCAGAAGTATACGTTGTTGTGCATGTTCTTTTAATTTATACATAGTTAGATGTTGCAGCTAATAACATTAAACTCCACTGATCTCTTGAACTATTAATAGGATACCTTTCAACTGTTTTTACTATAGGATTTAATGATCTATCCATAATTAATTTTCATATATTCCAAATATATGTTTGTTTCTGTAAAAAGGTAAATTTGGTGACCTATAAATAACAAATAATTTTGCTTGCTCCAAATGAAAACGCATTTAACATTTTTTTCAGCCAAAATCAAACTGCGGTTGCTATGATCTTGGTTTCATGGAAGATATTGATTCTGTTTTACTCAATAAAGTGGAATATACGCTATAAACAACTTCCATTAAGTCGATCTTCAGCTCTCGTTATGTTTCTCGTATAAAATAAAAAAACAAACGCTGTTAATATAAAGTTCTTCATTTTTTATACAATCACTAAGTAAGGGTCCTGTGGAGATATCTTCTGAGCTTGCTTTGATATGCTAATAGATTCTGCACTCTTTCTCATATTAATACACACACGCGTCAAAATATATATATCCATTCTTGTAGTTACGAATATATCATCAACCTTCTAATTACATGTGGTAATTCAGTTTTTCTCTCCAGTTTAATTCAAGTCATTTCCCAATGTTCTAGGTGGTCTTTTAAATCTTCTTAAACACTATACTATTTCATAACAATTTTCAAAAACACTGACGAATCAACATATGTTGCATTCCGTTAGTTCTCGCTAAAATCTTAGAAGTAATTTATATTAGAAGCGTACTTAGAGTTTCTGTATAATTGTAGTAATTTAGAAAATCTTGACAAGAGTTGACATATAATGTTTGTATCAGATTGCCTTCTGAGTGTAAATACAATAAATCTACTTTAAAAAACACATTAATAACACACCAGCATAAAAACACACAAATGATTAAAGCGTTGACTAAACATATAAAAAACCCAACTAGTTTCGACAAGCCAAGTTTGTTATTTTCATGGTATGAACTAAAACCGTTCTCAGTTGCCCCGTGCATCCAGGTTCAAAATAGCTCCAGAGGGGTCAAAGTTCTCTAACGGCAGAAAAGAAAAATTAATTCAGAAATAAACTACTTCCAAATAGGATTGAGTTCAAATACCATCTCATTATTGAGCAAATTTTCTGCTTTATGGTTGGGGTGGGGGGCTTTCGGACTAGGATTCCTTCTTATTCCTTTATATCATTTTGGTAACTTTTCCGTTCACCAAAACATAGGATAGATATTTGTTACCTGTTTTAAATACGACAGTATGTGTTGATCATAACTAGCATTTACACCATATGTTATTATGTGTCTGTGAGCTTAGGAATTTGTGTTTATCTGACAAGTAGTATCTCCCCCCCCCCTCTTCTATCAAAGCTACGAACACGGCTTATTGTAAACTTATTCAATACTAAAACCATCCTACAATATACCATAGGAGCAAAAGTCCTAGTTCTTTACAGTTTGTTGTCTTTGACCTTTAACTTTAATTCGCCTTAAAGATTTAATTCGTTTCTTTGCTATCTCTCATTATTTTTAGTGCTGAAAATGACACAGTGGTTAGCGTGTGGGTGCATCATTTGCACTCTGTTACTGCAAAATAATAATGATAACATATATCGCACTACGGACATTGGGACTGCAGGTGCGTTATAAGGGTGACGCTCAAATCCCACTGTTCAATTTGTATTCTAAAAGACAACAAACAAGAACGTACAAGAAAATTACAACATTCACTTGTATTACGGACCTGAAAGTTGTTTGTTTAGAGCCAAATTGGGCTATCTGCTGCTTTCACCGCAGAGAATCGAACCCTGAGTTTTAACGTTGTAAGTCCGTAAACTTACCGTGTATCTGGCAAATTCCCTTCTTCTGCCAGACAAGAGTGTTCAAAGAGTTGGCGGTGGGTGATGTTCACAAGCTACCCTACTGGCAGTCTATCATTTCAAAATTAGGGATGGCTATGCGCATATAGCCCTCGTGTAGTGCCCAGTGGTAAATCTGCAGGCTTACGATGCTAAAAATTGGGTTTCGATATCCGTCTTGAGAAGATTACAGATAGCCCAAACGTTTGGAGGTTTGCGTGAAATTTTAAATAACAACAACATTCTAGCCTTCCATATTAAAGAATTTTTTTTCACCACGATACTATTAAGACATCTCAGATGTATGCAGATCGCTTTCCTAATGGTTAAAGCTAAATCTTGCGTGACAAAAATTATTCCCGACTGTCCTAATTAGATACTTTCAAGGAACTTTAGATCGTACTGATTGGACTATTCTTGAAATCGAATACCTGACGTCTGTTAAACGTCATTAGTTATTAGACTTGATATTTGTATATAACAAATTAAGCTCTTAATGATAAACATCTCAACTAGTAACTTTTCGAACGGTAACAATGTTATCAATCACACTTATACTGATAATTTATGTATGTATCGTGAGCTATCTTACATTAGGAAGTTGTCCTCCATTCAACTCAGAATTTTATTTCAAAAACAGACATAACAGGAAGCAAACAACCCAAACTTTACATACAACTCAAGCTTCTCGAGACAGGAATTGTGGAATTTACTGCAACAGGAGAAATGACTGTCGGGGGTTTAACTACAACCCAGACACCCAGGAATGTCAACTGTTGATGTGGCCTGAGAACGAGACGATGGTAGCAGAAGGACACTCGGTGTGGTTCAAACGGGTAATTTTTTTATTTTATGTGTGAAATGTGTTTTCAAATTTTTCTGTGTAAACATTTTCAGATATAGAATGGTCAACAATGATACAAATACATCCTACGTAGTGACAACATCTGTGTAATTGCTTTGTATTTTACACGTTAGCTTAGTAATGTTTTTATAGTTACAAACTGCACATTTAAAGATACACCTACCAGTTTATTTGAGGCATAATTAGCCACTGCTTGAAATTTTTCATTAAAAAATGGCGGAAAAACGTTGTATCAACTGACCTATACTTATCATGACACAGCTTTGAAATATGCTTTTGAAATCTTTATCATAATTCAAAGGTAGCTTTTATATTGCATAAGGCATTTAGGCAGCTTATTAGTTCCCACGTGTATTGGTGTAAAAAGTTGTATAGGCCTGGTGCACATTTACCTTCATTTCTTCTTCATAGACATTAAAATATCACGCATGTGAATATTTCGTATTACTTCTCGCATCCTATAATCTTAGTTGAGTTTTAGTTTCAGTTTAGCTGTTCCAAAAGATCGGTTTGAATTCTAGTTTACAAATAGCCCTTTCACAACATAAAACAGATTATCTGTGCTTAGCTAAAGTTCTACGTGAACAGGATGTATCCACCTATCAACGACGCTAAAAATGAATTTGTTATTTCTATCAAGTTCAGGGCTAGCGCAAGGGCGTATGACTACGTATGTAGTCAGTACGCTAGATAAGTCTTTATTAACCTTTTCACGAGACCTGATGCATATTACATATGCAGATATATATATATACATAAAAAGAAACCGTGCTATTTATTTTTTGAGTAATAAACTATATTATTTATTTTCAAGTTAAACAACCATATCAGTGTCTTTTCTTTTAGCCATGTTTCACTTATTCAAATTCACATTACATTCCTTATGAACTCCTGTTATCGTGCCCATGACTTGGATGAACACGTCATGTTGGTATATTGAGACAACAGATCAATAGATTGATTATGCACTGAATTTACTGATGTTCTATGTTAAAGTATAGATTATAGTGAATGTAAGATCTTAATTAGCTGATGCAGGTGTATTCACATGTCAACAAATGGATGAAGCAACTATATCAAAGAGTTATTATGGTAAGAAGTAATATAATTAAATTCTAGTATGGGGACTATTTATGGTTTTAGTGAGCACCTGTAGCAACTCATTTCTAGATGGATAATCCTTATTTATCTCCTTAGATATCACAAGACATCAAACTGCGAACTGTACCATTATGTGACGCCAACAAGATGAACAAACTAAAGTCATACAATTACCGACAAACCTCTCATGTGTCTATAAGATTAACAACTGAATGCATCTTTACTTTCTGAGCCGCCCCCCAGTGACACAGCGGTATGTCTGCGGACTTACAACGCTAGAAACCGGGTTTCGATACCCGTGGTGGGCAGAGCACAGATAGCCCTTGTGTAGCTTTGTGCATAATTAAAAACAAACAAACAAACTTTCTGAGCCACCTTTTGGAATGCTACGGTACTAATGAAGTGCAGTATGTTAAATATTTACTGTGACTTTCAGTTGGTGGGGGGCATGAGGATTTGGAATTTGTACACAAGCAAAATAAATATGAAAACTAAGAATGACCGAAAAATTTGATTATTTCTTTCATGAAAACAAGAAACATGTTCATAAACATTCATGCCGACCGAACACTGTGCTTTGTTTGCTTTCCAGAGGACTAGCTAACTATGGCTGACCAACTTGCATCACAATGTTGTACGTTCTCTTTTGCAGTGTGTAGCTTTGGATATAGCTGGTGCCCCCCCCCCCCCCAGTGGCACAGTGGTAAGTCTGCGGACTTATAATGGTAGAAACCGGGTTTCGATATCCGTGAGAGGAAAAGCACAGATAGCTCATTGTGTAGCATCGTACCTAACTACAAAGAAACAAACATAGCTTGTTCTCCTTCTGGGACTAATAATGTTACATTGATGATTATACTAGCAGATTGACAGTATTGATGATCAACTTTTGGTAGCTTTGGGGAGGATAAATAAAGGACTAAGATCTAACATAGATACTAACGCGACCTCTGAAGATAAGTGTGGCCCTCTTTTGAATAGTTATTAGTAGTATCTGCACTAGCCATACATAACCTTGAACTGATAGATAAGAGGGGAGGTACTAGACATCAATACCCATCACAAATTATTGTGATATTCTAATTAAATATTTGAATTTGACAAGCACTCTTATAATGCACACATGATACCAAAGTAAGGAACGCGATTTTGCGGTGATGTAGCTTGATCTAGGATCTGTGATATCTGACTTGATATACTATTTTTGGCATATATATATATATAAATTAATCGATGAGTTCGGAGGAAAATGAAGTTTCGGAATACAAAGGATAACGATACATAAGATAAACAACATTGTTTATTTATAATAGAAGGGGACATAGATAAACGTTTCGGAATTCTACAGTTTTTATTATCAGTATCTTTAGCAAAGTAAACGAAATACATCATCTCTAAGTAAATAACTAAAATATATTGCTGCAATAACAATAATTTGTTCAAAACTAAAACACATAAAAAGTGAAGAAGTAACAACCAAAATACTGTACATATTTACAAACGTGCAATTTAAAAGAAGGCTACGTGTTATTCAGTGTTGGTGAAAGTTGTTTGAGGTGAAGAGTTTATTCAATCAGTAATTCCAGATCAGTGTTAGCCTTGCAAAGGGTATTGAAATTTGATAGGTTAAGTTCGTGTCCTGTTTCTTCACTATGTTGGCGTATGGAGAAGGCACAGGGGTTACTCAACTTTTGTTTTTGTCATGGAAATTCCCATATGTTCATTAGCTCTAACTAGTAGATGGCATTTGGTATTTGCTAATATAGGAGGCCTTACAATCTCCACACACATGTAAAAATATACAAGCCATGAATAAAAATAAATTGGGAGAAGGTCTTTAGTACGGAAAAAAATCCCGTATGCGAGATACGGGTTAAAAACTAATCTGAAATCAACTTGGAATAGTAACGATGAATTACGCATTTAATTTGACTTTTTAAAGTTAAGCTTTGTTTACCAATATATGGTCCCAGACCTGAAAAGGTTCCGTTTTGCGTCAATTATATTTCTGTTTTAGTTTACTGTTATTTTAATAGTAAGTTATAGTTAAGCTTTAATTTCATTTACTTATCTGACTTAATCTTAAACTTTCAAGTCATAATTTTAGTATATGACTTTTATTCATGTTAGTCATTATTATGGAACTTACTGCTTTCGTCACAGTCTTGGTCCTTCAAGTCATTTAGAAGTAGTAGTTACAGTTTTAGCCAAGAATTTTCATCAAGTTTTCACACCTCGTCTTCTTGTTTTCGGTTCCTGCTTTTGGCTTTGTCTTTCACAGTTTTACCGGATGTTTTGTGTCTTCATTAGTCACCCTTAGTATATATTCTTGTTATGCTTGTTTACCATCATTCCACGAGTTAAACGTTCACACCCCACCATTTAAACTTAAGTACGCTCCTAAAAGTTATATTTTCATAAGAAAATCTACCAAACTCACTTTAAGAATAACTCTTAATTCCCCAAGCAGAGTTAAGAGAAACAAAGGTTTATGAGCGCCCCTGATTGTCCATCAAGCTCATTCGGGGCTTGTTAGATTTTAAAATAATAATACCTGTTAAGTCAATACGGATATGGATATCAAAATATGAAAGACAAGAGTATATAGTAAGTTTGGGTAAAGTTGGTACAAAGTTGTGAAATTCCTGGTATCTATCCTACATCTACTTACTACCTTTTACTGGGCTCTTGTCAGATGGGACACATGTCTTAAAGTTAAACGCATTGCCATCCCATTCTTACACTGAAAAAAAACGTTTTCTTTATAATAATCGAAGTTTAAAAAATTCATTTTTCGTGAACATTATTTTTCTAAACGTTTTGATTATTTTATTAATTTATAGATTACGTGTGCAGACCAACCATGTGAAAATGGGGGATCATGTCGAGATAGACCAGGATACATTCATCAGTACAAATGTGATTGTTCACAAGGTTGGTGTGGAAGAAGATGTGAAAAGCGTAAGTTTTTATATATCTTGTTTATATACCGTTTACTACAAGTTTTTCCCTGTAGTACATTTTAACACTATAATTATCTATGTCTTTGTTTTTAGATCAAAGCAACATTAGGCTATCTGCTGTGTCCACCATGGGAATCGCATCATGGAATTTAGACTATAATTATCTATGTCTTTGTTTTTAGATCAAAGCAACATTAGGCTATCTGCTGTGTCCACCATGGGAATCGCATCATGGAATTTAGCGTTGCAAGTCCGTAGACCTACCTTTATCCCACTGACTTTGTATAATATTCATTGCTGGTTGATATCTTGCATGGTGTTGAATACTTTTATGTTTTTGTCTATTACAACACTCGTGTAAATAATTAACAAAACACATGGGAGAATCCTTCATTTGCTGCGTCAAGTACATAAGAAACCAAAACAGTAATTGCTATATGGGCCAGACTTGGCCTAGTGGCTCGCGTGCTTGGACTGTTAATATGAGGATCCTCTTGCTAAACAATCGCACTCCGCTCTTTTGGGCTATGGTTGTGTTGTAAGGGTTACGGTCAAATCCTACGATTCGATCAGAGTAACACCAGAGTTGGCAGTAAGTGCTAGCTCAGATGGCTTTAGTGCAGCTTTACACAGATATGACCTGGCGTATAGGGCGCTCAATTCACAACCTGTGGGTCAAGGAATCAAAACCCTTCATGGAACATGCTCGTCCTTTTCGCCGAGGGGGTGGGGGTGGAGAGGGCATTATAATGTGACTGTCAATTGTGCTATTCGTTTGTAAAGAGTAACTTGAGAATGAACAGTGAGTTGTGTTGATTAGCTGTCTTTCTTTTAGTCCAGTGTTTCCCAACATTTTTCGCCGCAACGTCCCTTTCAGCAAACAATAAGCGCTTATGCCCCTTTCTAATACATTTTTAATACAAGTACCGAAAGTAGCGCTAAAAGAGATATGCTGAACGAATGGACGAGAAGCATTGAGGTGGGGTTGCTTACCACAAACACACCCACACAATGATTTTTGCTCAAACGTATTGAAAGAATAACCCCTATTTCATATGGTTTAATTCTAACAAATATAACTTTGAAACCCTCAAACTTTTCTGTCTCCCCTGCCGCCCCCTGAGACTTTGATGCCACTTAATTTTAAAAACGCCAAGGGGCGGTACCACAGAGGTTGGGAACTGCTTTAGTCAGTAACTTCAAAATTTTGGACAAACAATCAAAATCAGGGACCCCAAAACCAATAAAGGCATGGTACCACAAATACTGTAATGATAGTATTTTAGAACAATATGTTTAAAAAGGCGGTGGGGCTAATTTTAGGTTTATCTGTATTATTGAGTGGGTTGAAATAAATCATTCATTTCCCCGATGGCTCAACGGTAAAGTTGAAAGCTTATAACGTTAAAATCATGGGTTCGATTTTTGCTTGGGAAGACAGTTAAGATAGCTAATTATGTAGCTTTGCTCTAAAATATAGACTCGGTCAGAAATAATTATATCAACATAAACAATGAGTTTAGATTATGAACTTAAGTAATTAAAAAATATATGTTTAAAACATTTTATTTATAAAAATAACTTATATTGTGACTTATATGTTGTAACCTAGGATTGGTAAAACATAGTAAGTAATTTACAACACAGTTTTCAGATGTTACATTCTGGTTGAAACCATATCTAGAAATCATGACTAATATAGTTTTGTAAAACGAAACATTTATTGCTTACCCGACGTTTTGAAAGATCACAACGCCATTGCATGTACAGTATATACCATCTAATATTTAAATGTCAATACTATAACTATTACACATTTTTAACACTTAGTTACCGTCCTATTGAAATATTGACCTTTAAATACGTCAAACTTTTATTAATCGGAAATAACTATAATTATAATTTTTCATTAAACATGAATATCATCAAATTGAAGTATATTACAAGATTACTTAAAAACAATTTATACATATATTAGTTTTCTTTTCGTGATCATTTATAAATTTGCTACTTGAATGTCAAATTTGTTTATACAGATGTCATCTAAACACATTTTATTTTTTAAGAATATTAAAATAAAATGTAAATCAATAATTGATTAAGATGCCACCTGTGACACATGGATGACTTTTGTCACATTCATCTTCATGGATTCTCACCTATATAAAATGCTACACTTAAACTGTTTACCACAGCTGGGATACAACTATTTGCAGGTTTCTTTCTGGATTGTTTTGGTCCTTCTAGTAAATCCATATTCCATTGTATTCCGATGTCATTATGTACAAGATACATCCGTCTTGGAAATTCTAAATTCCTGATCTGAACAAATCTTTATCATATTAGTGTACGAATATTTTACATATGGAAGAGCTGCTACATAGTTTCTTCTTTGATTTAAATTAAAACCACTTAAATTATGAACAACTTTCGCCAAATTAACTTTGAATTCTTATGTACAGGTAATAATGAACTTCAGATGGTTTTAATCGGTAACTACTTGCATGATTGGAATTTATGATTCAAAGTCTAAAACTCTTGTTCTTTTATTAAGGCTTTTGCCAAGGGAGCGCCGCAAAATTCAAATTTAGTCCTACATTGTTTACTTTTAGTCTCAGAGGTCTAGTACATTGTACATGAAGAAATGATAAATGAGACTTATGATATTTTATTTTGACGACAGGCCTGAAACTCAAATTTTATGTCAAGCTGTACAATATTCTTTAAACGATATTCAGTCAAGTGCTGTTATTTGGGATTTCTCTTTCGTTGTCTTGAAATATGAGAGTGTGATTTTTGTTACTATAGGACTGTTTCTGTTCTGTCATTTTATATAAATGACACAGATATTTTCTAAGTAAATTATTTCAAATATTGAAAAATATTTTTGATAAATACTGGTTGTCAAAAACGACTCAGTTTGTTAGGCCTATCTTAAGCTTTTCTTGTGCGGAACATCGATAAAACAACTTGTTATTATATACTTGAAATATACATTTTTACAAATGTTGACAAAAATCATTTCCTCTGACTTACTAGTATCTCTAGGCCTAACCTCTTCTATTTGATTGCTTCTCCTTGCAGATCACAGAACTCAAGTAGACTATCATTTGTTTAAACGTAGAAGCCCTCCAGTGGCACAGCGGTATGTCTGCGGACTTACAACTCTAGAATCCAGGTTTCGATACCCGTGGTGGGCAGAGCACAGATAGCCCATTGTGTAGCTTTGTGCTTAATTACAAACAAACAATTAAACGTAAAAAAGTTCTGATCATTTGGCTTGCTAAAAATGTTTGCTTCTCGTCCGGCATATATATATGTAGAAAGCCCTGTTGTCAAGATAATAGGTGGGATGATGATGAGAACAACGTATTTGAGATTGTTCTATGCTGGTCACTCCATTGTTCAGCAAAGAGCTCCAGTCGAGAAAACTTTATTTCATATCGTCTTTCTTTTGCTAAAGCAAATAAATACATTAGCGCTTGGAAGTAGTTTAGCTAAATGAAAACGTGTTTTATTTTGTTTTAACTCTTTTCACAGATTTGGGATTTTTGTTTCGAAGCTTTGAACTTATAGATATTATCTAACTGCTAAATGTTAAATCTAATCTGAATATTATATAATATAAACTTCCCTGATCTATAGAATGCTCAAAATGTTTTGCCTTCACTCAGTTTTATTTTCGTCCCGGACAGGAATCAAACTAAATCTAAGGATTATAAAGTGTAAATGCATTGTTTGTTTCCTTTTTCGACCAGAAGAACAATTTTGACAACAGGTTGCCTCCACACCGGGCCACCAACAGACTGAACTGGAGACTACCTGGTAAAACCTAAGAGGTTAATTTCTATAGTAACTTAATTGAAGATCTCATATCTTGGATGTTGCCACTAATCCTAGCCAACGCCTGAACTTGTTGTGTTGTAGTTGTGGTTCCTCGTAAGAGAAGTTAATTAATCTCATATCTCTTATATTATTCATTTATTTACTTTAACTTTAATTACACATCGGTGTTATGAAATACATCCTTATATTCTATAATATTGCATCGATGCCTTTCAAGTTGCTATGGTGATTAATTGCTAGATTTCCTAATGTACAACAATAATAAATGTTTTTGATATACTACTCTTTCAACGAGACTTCCAGTTAAGAATGTTTTCTGTTACACCTTCTGGACACAGTTTTTCAGCTTCTTGTACAACCAGACTCTCTTCCGTTACTGGATATATTGCCTCAATCACTTTGCGCTAAATCAGTTAATATCTTGACCCTACTTTCAGAAATGAATTTTCTGTTTTTTTATCTTTCTACTTTTCTTTGAATGATGTGTGATATACTGGTTAAACTCTCGCCCAGTGATGTCGCTTGTGATAGTTGTCTTATCTTTAATATACTTTTTAAAATAATTTTACTCGGATAGTTCTTTTTATCTCGATCTGTAAGAAAGGTTGTGCTTTCTGTATGTATCATTTTGTTATCACTCTAGACTATTATCTATCCTGATAAAACTGGAATGTACACAGCTGAATTTCTTTCTTTAAACTGCTAAGCATCGGGAGCTACTTTTTAGCCCTCTTTTTACGTTCTTATTTTGTTCTTATCCTCATCCTCATTCATTAGTTGACCTTTTTGAACAGATGAATTCATTTCTCTGAAAATATGTGCACTGAAAGTCTCGCTGCACCTTTTTTCTTCTCTTAAACTTTAATATAACTTCTTATTTTTCTTGAATGTTCGTTTTCTTCGACTCTAGAAATCCTTCTCATTCAGGTTTTAAAACCACCAATACTGACAAAGTTATTCTACTGAGTAGCTAATTTGTACTTCTTATTGCACATTCTGAAGTTTCTTTATTAAACCTTTTTATTAAATTCTACCAATCTTCAATGATATCAATTTCTGTGGTACGTAAAGTCTCATTCTTTGTTTCTTGTTAACGAATCTCAGGTTTTGAACCATTAGTTTCCTTCTTCAGATCCAGTTCATTCCTTTGTAAATGTCCGTTTATACTTCGTATTGAACGTCCTAAGTTTGGAGAAACTGAATGATTCGTGAGAGTTTATTAATACAGCTTTAAGGCCGCTGAAATCAACAAACTACGGATTTTCTCAGTGGGTTCGACTCCCTGTGGTGGACAGAGCGCAGATAGCCTATTGTGTAGCTTTACACTAAAACAAATAAGTACTGAGAAGTAAAAGTATTTTAAATTAATAAAATATCATTACAACTCTGAACCCAAAAGTAAACATAATATTCATAATTACTTTACGTAATTGAAAGTGACACTTAAATACGATAAATTATATTTTATAGGTTTATAAAATGAACTTGTGATCAACTATATATGTTTTATAATTAGGAAAACATCATGCACACCAGTATCTATTCATTTGGAATAAACACACAAACCATTTTCATTGTTCTCATTCAATCAACGATATAATGTTAAGTGGGACTTAGAACAGGTATTATATGTTTCTATTTATACATATATATTTATATATTATTTTAGTTCACTACAACGTCACTCGTAGGCACTGTATACTTGGTGGAGACATCAGTTCCAAGTACATGTCTTCTCCAGAAGAATGTTTGAAGTGGTGTCTACAGACAACTGGTTGTAAGGCGACAGGTTATAGTTCTTTAAAATATTGTCACCTTGAATTAAACGATCATACTAAAACTTCTTTGTCGTATTGTATTGGTTATGACTACTATTATCCCTTAAAAGAATGCAACAACGAAACCTAGAGAGTCGTAATACTTTGTTTATTTCCGTATGTAAAATTTTGTAGCTTATAAATGTTGATTTACATTTAAGTAAGGAAATGTTATGTTGATTCAAAATATAAGATAAAATGTAATAAAAGCCAAGGGATTTATGAAGATATGTTTTCCTGCAATTTATAAATTCACTACAAAAATCTTTATCACACATAATGTTTGGATCTTTCTACTTCTATTAATTGTTTTATAGACGACTCTCTTCGTAAAATAATCATAATGAAAATATTTTACTATTTGTTTGTGCTATTATATTTTAAAATCTTATGTTTATAATATAATGACACAAGTAGCAATAAATAAACCCAATTTCAACAACAACGATCATGATACCACGTTTTCTTACTTATATGTTAAAAATGTATATTACTTTTCAAATATTTTTAAGTTTGAATAATATTGTATGAAATAAATACAATGGTAACTTCAGTATTATTGTAAATCTAAAATCATATAAGAGAAAATCAAGTAATGAAGATAAATTGGATGATTTTATTTAATATCGTGATCATCTTTGCAATGACACTGTTTTTTAAGACATTAAAACTACAACGTTTCAGTCCATAGAAAGGAGTCATTCTTCAGTTAATGTATAATTAATAAGAATTAGAAATTCAACTAATTTTACTCTGCAAAGCTAATTACGATATTAGATACTTATAAAAGAAAGTTTAGTTCGAAAAATTGTTTTTTATTGTTGTTGGAAATATTTCATTGAAGAAACGTACATATTTCTTTTATCTTTTAAATATAAATTGAAAATATTAACAAAATGTGCTAAACAATCTTTATTTCGTATTTCAATAGCAATAATTTAGTGTATATATTTTAAGACAAGATTAACGTTCATTCCAGACTTCTAGAAATACGTTATTCTTCTATATTTATAAGTTTTTATTTATGGTTGTTTTATATATAGGCAGATTTTGATGAGTACTGTGACAACAATAATAAAGTATAGGAACCTTTATCTGTTGAAATGGCCTATATACACTTTCTAATCATTAAACTTATTATGTTTTTGGTTGTAAAATTAATAAACGTATGGACTGTAGATTCCAAATAACACATATGTTTTCTCAGTGGAATATGTCCATATGTCTTAAGCTGTTTAGACACGAATCAGAATCAACCAGAAGCAAATGAACCTATTAATTAACTGAAACTATATACAAACTGAAAAATTCTTGTTCCTAAATATCATTAATGTGTGCTTTAAACTTTAAGTATTTTTGAAAAACTTATAACATCAGAGGATTTTACTGAGGCACCTATGGATTGACATTTTTATTAATGAATTAAATTGCACATATGACGTTTTTTCTAATAAATCAAGATCTAAATATATGATGTTTTCTAATAAATATAGATTTACATGTATGATGACTTTTAAGAGATGTAAACTTCTGGAATAATAATCTTTCAACATATGTATACCATCAAGTGTTAAATGTGTGATGTTGTTTTAATAGATCTATGTAGAAGTGTAGATGTATTAATACGTATAGAACTGCAAGTATGATGGTATATTAATAAACATAGAACTGTAGGTGTTTTAACATTCTAATAGGTGTAGAATTATAAGTGTGGAGACGTTTTCATATATGTATAGAACTACATGTGGGTTGATGTTTTAAAAACATAGAACTATTTGTATCAATAAATCTATATATATGAAATATGAAGTTTGTTTATTTGTTTATTTTGTTCTTTATAGGAAACAAACGGTTGAACTTACAAATTTTAAAATAACTTCATAATAACCAGTTTTTTACAAGACATTTAATGGTCTATTTATTTTGTATTTGCTGTAGTATTTAATGACGAAATTGACAATTAATGATTATTGCGCACTTTTTTTTTGTAATAAACATAAGCGCGTTTTGCACATAGAAAGCGTTATGGCGGGAGACACTCAGATCATCTTGCTGTCAATTCAGTATTTCCAAAAACAGTTTTCTTTAAATAGTGCTAAGTGGTTTCATAAGTGATTCAGTAACTTTGTGAATTACAAATTATTGTTTAGTGATAAAGGTGATTATGCCACCCAAGAAACGCCCTTTCTATGTAAATTATTCTGCCGCTAAAAGAATGCAAGCACAAAGAGCAGCTGAAACAGAAGAAGAACGCAATCAAAGGCTTCAAGCACAAGCTGCAAGACAGGCTACTCAAATACAGGAAGAGACTTTGGAACAACGTAAAGCTAAACTTCGAGCTCAAGCTGAAAGGCAGGCTACTCAAAGACAGCAAGAAGCTGTTGAACAGCACAAAGCCAGAGTTCAGTCAGAATCATCAAGGCAAGCTGGATATAGACAACAAGAAACTTCT